AGGAGCAGGAAGGTGAGACCTTTTAGCTTCTGCGTCATCTCTGCGTTTGTGTCTATCTCCTATTCAGGCAGTCTTGAGAGTGTATGTCTGTATGTGTGTGTGGAAGGAAGGAAGGCAAGGTGATATCATGTGGCTTTGAGTTTGAGGAGGGAAAGAGGGGGGGCGTTTAAATAATAACGAGAGCTTCAGTTCATGGCCTTCGTCGTCTCGTCCCTCCCTGCTTCAGCCTTCAGCAAGGCTGAGTGAAAGAAGGAAATCGCCATGGGACCAGGCGTCCCGGCTCACGTAGTCACGTGCATCTGTGTGGAGGAGCATTGGCTCGTAACAGCGTCACAGAGAATTGAAGGTGTCGTCTTTGTTTTCCTTTTGTCACTTTAGTGCATGAACATCTCACAGTTTTATCACCCCTCGCGGTTTCCTTTTGTCACTATAGTAGAAGTAGTAGCGCAACGTTACAAGCGCGCAATCACATTCCCATCACTCACAGGTGGCTGCCGTCTGCCGGGGCTCTCCTCCTCCTGGTCACGGCCTCACGGGCGCGCGCTGCCCGGACGAGACGACGCTAGGCTAGCGCGGAAACCCAGGACCCGGCGCCGCAAAACGGCCTCACCAACCACCTACCAGTCTAGTACACTACTCTACCACACACCACACGCCCCGCCCGGTTGCCGCGCACCACCACTCACTCCGATTCCCTTGCTGCTGCCTCCGATCCACCTGATGGACCTGGAGCTTCCACGCCCGAATCGTTTGGTTTCCGTTGCGCTCGCGGTCGGTCAGGGCCTCAGGGCGATCGCTGCCGCGCTCGTCTCGTGGTGCAAGTTGCAAGGAAAAGCACGTCGGCTGCGGAGATAGCGGAGGCGAGCGTGTGTCTGCGCCTCCAATTTCTTCGATGGGAATGGATGAATTCGCTAGCATTAGGATAGGCCGTGAGCACGGCGAAGCTAGTACGTGGCACGGCTCATCGACTGCCACTGGGGCTAGCTGTATGTGGTCGCTGGTTCTGAAGATTCCGACATGTCCGGTGACCGGTGTAGTTTTTTTTTTAAGGATCCCCGGTGTACACATGGATAACTGCATTGCGTGCGTCTTCGTCTTTGGCCGTGGATCGATTGGGTTGGCACGCGTTTCAGTTCCAACTTCCAAGGCCACCGTGTTCCGGAGCTTTCCATGTTCGAGAACTCGGGGAGCCAGAACGCGAACGCGCACGCGCGGCCTGAACGGACCAACAGTTGAGGCTGCTGCTGCAGGCTCTGGCTGGCTGAGCAACTTTTGTCTGTTCGCGAATCGGAAGACTTGACTGGCGGCGCGGGGCCTGGGCTCCTGACTCATCACGGGCGCCTGCTGCCGCCTGCCCGATTGGCCCGGCCGATTCCTGTCGCCTGTGTGTGCCTCTGCAGTTGCTGCTACGTCGCCTTCTCCCTTCATAGAATCTGCATCTTTCTTTCTTTCTGAGCCAGAGGCACGCAGCAGTGCTGCTGCAAAGCACGTGACGCTTAGCGACGCCATGGTTGCCACGGGGCTCCGTAGGCTACTCCAAAACAGCTTTCCAGGCGCACACGATTTGCGCAGCAAACCTGGGGCGCGAGCGCCACGAACAGGCGCAGCGCACAGCGCAGCCCAGGCCAGGACTGCGCATTGCCACTGCCCGGAGCCGCCTGTCCTCTTCCTCAGGCCAAGTTGCACCGGCGATGCATGCGGCGGATCCCCCGCCGCCAGGCGCCAGGGAATGGACGGACGCGGCGGCGTTGCCACTTGAAGAGGAGAGAGGAACGCTATGCTGCTGCTGTGGCGGTGTGACGGATGCGTGGTGCGTGATTGGCCTGCCTGATGGATTCGGGTCGCCGCAGCCATCACGTGGCGCGTCGCAATTGCGTGCCATTCGCCGCCATGTGAGGCGTCACTCCTGCAAAAGCCGGCCATTTTCGACGCCGAGAGTGAAGGGATCGATCGTTAGCACTGGCAATCGCCAATCGCTAGCAGGAAAGGGTCCTTGCAGTTTTCTCACGGTTCACCTCAGCCTTTCTGGTTACATGTGACGAGAGATAAGAGACATCCACCTGTATTGCCGTGGTTAATAATGCCATAAGGGCTAAGAGCTTGTTTGATATCCATGTATCCATCTCAATCATATGTGTTAGAAGTGGTTTGATGTGGAATTTAAACTAAATTACATACTAAACCACTTCAACACATATGACTTGAGGTGGATACATGAACAAGACCTAAAGCATAAAACACATTTGCATGATTAGGCAAGATCCAAATTTGGTGGTGCTATCAAGAGAGAGACACAAAAAAGGGTTGAAAGGATGCAATACGTCATAGTGTTTGCTAGAGGGCAAGCTAGTGAAGCACCTCGAGCCACAATTGCTAAAATCCAAGTTACCCAAGCACCTCCTCACCTCAAGTCACATAAATCAACTGGTACAAAGGAAAAGCACTGATGGATCCTTTTTGTCAGCCAGCGACACGAACTGATTGCTGAGTGTTCTATATATGGTGCTAGCAACTACGCGCATGTTTAGATGAGATTATAAAATCTGGATTCTAGATAAAAAAAATAATCTATGATATTTCTTGATTCTATGCCCGTGTGTTCTAGGATCTTACGACGTCTAGAAGAGTTTCTAGGTTCCTGAGTTTTTTTTATATAGATTCTTAAAATCCGTGGGTGTCCAAACGGGACCTACTACACCTGTCCCATAAAAATGAGTGGACACATAATTCATGTTGGTTAAACTTTTAAAGTTTAACTAAATTTCTAAAAAAACATCGATAATATTTATATCTACAAATAAATTTATTATAAAAATATATTCAATGATTCTATCTAATAATATTAATTATGTATCATAATTATGAATATTTTTCTTATATATATTTAGTCAAAGATTTGAAACGTTTGATTTCTCGAAAAACGATGATGATACTTTTTATGGGGCGGAGGGAGTCATGTTAGAGCATATGTTTTGCTAAACTAAAACTTTATAACGTCGATCTCACCTTAGTACTAGTTTGTGTTCCAAAACGTTAACGTTGCTCTTAAATAGGCAATTGTACGTATTTGGTCCATCTGTGAGCCCATGTGGCCGTGTTCAGTGACACCATGCCGTTCGCCCATCTCACCAGATAACCCGAAATTTTTGGGCCAGATAGTTCGGGTATTTGAAAATTCAGATATCCCAAACTAATCGGAATCGAGCGTCTGTATCTGTACTTAGTAACCTCTTGGTGCGCGTGCCTCCTCCGTCAAATTTCGAGTGCAGCGGCCTCCGTCCTGTGCGCGCAAATCCCTTTCCTGTGCCCAACGCCGCTGACTACTGGGCCCCACCACCTTCGTCCAATCGTACGCGGGTTCCCCAAAACCGAGTCTCATACGTGCGCGCGTCCAAAAAATCAAACCGAGACTCTTCTCTGTCCAATTTATAACTATATACTCGGTACAAAAAAAAAGAGGACTACTGGGCCCCACCACCGTCTTCGTCCAATCGTGCGCGGGTTCCCCAAAACCGAGTCTCATACGTGCGCGCGTCCAAAAAATCAAACCGAAACCGATACTCCCAAAACTTCGACGCGTACGTGCAGTATATAATAACTTAACTATCCTCGGTAAAAGAGAGAGAGAGAACAAAGCAGACGCTCAGCCGGAGATAACTGGGCTGACGCGACGGCGACCAGCTGCGACGCGCGCCGACAGCCCACACGCGCTCCGCTTCGCCTCCGTGTACGTGCCTGCCACAGCCTCTGGAGGTTTACCGTTTACGTGCCTAGCTCGGCCTCGGATTCACGGAATTGGTTTTGGTGCACTAACCAAGGTGGAGATGAAATTTCGGAACGAGGCGTTTCTTTAACTTTATTCTATCAGGCACTCTCTCCTTTCCAAAATAAATATCGTTACATGCCGAACAAACTTTCTTAAGTTTGTATCTTTGAAAATAAGTTTACTATAAAAATAAATTCAACAATCTATCTAATGATAATATTATATATTATAATTTATATATATATATATATATAGTCAAAGTTAAAAGTGTTTGACTCTTTGGAAAACGAGAACGATATTTATTTAGAGATAGAAAGAGTATCTGTTATTTTATCAAATCTACTCGATGATACCAAATCACAATCCCTCCTCATGCGTCCACGTCTGATACAAATCATCCTCCACTAAAAGCTCACGCGTCCGTCGTGTCCTATCATGTTTCAATGCCAAAGACTGGATCCACGCATTCACATCCGGTATGAAATCCTTGCAGCTCACGTGTCTGTGTGTCCAAATACTGAGGTTTAGTAAAAAAAACGTGGCCCCATGCAACGCACGGCATATATCTAGTTCAGATAATAAATATGAAAAAAAAAAAAAAATATATTGTTATACGGGCGCGGCGTTAGCGTGCTTACCGTGCTAGTTACTAACATTAGATAGCTTATTATGGTGTGCCGTTTTTTTTTTTTGAGAGTACAGCCCAAGTGTGGTACAGTACAGGCCAGACCGTGATTCCAAGCGCGGCACATGGGCTTTCGTGGTTGATACGTACATGGGCCGATTAAAAATTCCAGCCCAAAACAATGGAACCCAGCCCAAACTCACCGTTATCTGCCGAGCCACCAGAAATCCAGGATTCAGGAGACGAGTCACGACGACTGACTTCGTGTTTCTCAGTAGTTGCACGGACCCAATCGCCATGGCACGGACCGTGGAGTAGTACTCCTGTGTGTTGACTTGCTGAGCCACGAGTGCCGGCAATGGTCAAAATCGCATCGAATCGAGCATGCATACACACGCAGGTTCAAATTCACATTCGCGAACAAAAGAAAGGAGTACGGAGTGGTCAATTCGATGGACTGAATTTGAATTCCGCGATGTACAAAATACATGCGTGCTGCCGTGCCGCCCACCGTGCCACACCCTACACGTTCCAAGTTGCATTAAGCCGCGTGCAAAGCGTGCAACAAACCGCCCACACGCACCCCCAAAAAACGTCACACTTGCACCCCTAACCGAAACAGACAGGCAGGCCTTCGTCAGTTTCATTTCCACATGAGACTACGGAGTAGTAGCTAGTTGTACTGGAACAAGGTGGTCCGCTCTGGCCAGACCGCGGCGCCTGCGCCGCCTGCGCGACGACGTCGAGCCGCCACGCGAGGAACTGCGGCGGTACAGCCTCGGCGTCCGTGACGTCGCACGGGAACGCCGGCCCATCGCAGCCGCCGTAGGGCACTGGCGCCGCCCTCCCGGCCGCCGCCGCCGGAGCGCCGTACTGCGCCCGCTGCGCGAAGTAGCCGCACCCGCCCTGGTCCATGGCCGCCGCCGCCGTCGCCGCTGTCGCCGTTGCCGCCGCACGCCGCTCCTCCTTCTTGAACCTGATGCCACAGGCGTTGCACAGGGACTGCATGCATGCATCACGGACAGCAGATACGCATCGGTCAGCGAACTCGTATAGTAGGACAAGAGTATGCACGGCAAGCTCACGCATGCATTTGTCATCGGGGTAATTAGGGGCTTAAAAATTCGGGGACGACAAAAAACTGTGTGTCCATTTAATACTTCATGTATACATTCATATGGGGAGACCGCGCTGCTTTTGAGGCAATTTCAGCAGGAGTATGCATGGCAAGCTCACGCATGCATTTGCACCTGATGGGGACGACCGAAGTGTGTCCTCGTGGCAGTACTACCATTTTTCAACGAACGTGGCCCTCATCGTTTTTTTTTCTGCCATCAAATAAGCGATATGCAGCTATGGCTTAAAGGGCCGTGAAAAAAAACTGTCAGTGGCAGACGACACGACGCTGGCTCATGTCGTGCGTGTGACCGTGTGTCACGTGACAAGTTACGTCGTGATGCGATGCGATTCCTTCAGTATGTCATGTTCACACGGCCTTGTTTGTTCATCCATTAGAATTTGCTAGTGCACTTAACAATCCCTAATTTTTGCTAGTATATGGAGTAGTTAGCATAATTTTAGTTGCATACTAGTATTAGTACACTGCAATGGTGCTCAGGATGAATGAAAACTGCATGGATGCTAACTACTGCTAGAAGCCTTGTTTCAGCGTCGTTTGGGAAAGATGACAGGCGAGGCGAGGAGACGCAAAAGGCAAACCTTGGGGCCGCGAGGTCCGTTCCTCCACAGCGGCGTGGACGAGGTGCCGCAGTTGGCGCAGCGGCGGTCCACGAGCATCGGGTCCTGCCCGTGCCCGGCGCAGGGCACGGCGGCGGCAGAGGGCCTACTGCCGCCCTGGCAGCAGCAGCAACAGCAGTAGGACTGATCAGCGGCGGCGGCGACGTCCCACGACGCCGACGCCAGGCATGCCGGCCGCTGCTTGGCGGTCTCGGCGGCGCGGCGCGAGGACGGCGTGCCGAGCGAGAGCGTGCAGTCGACGGAGCCCGTGGATGAGGAGGACGCGGACGAAGGGGAGGTGGTGACGGAGCTGTGGCTATCGTCATCGAACCCGTCCGCCGCCATCGCCATGTGCGCGAACTCAGCCTTGTTGTTGTGCAGCGGGAAGAAGAGCGAGAACGTGGTGGAAGCCGCCGCCATGGTGTCGGGGGCAGCGGCCGCGATGCTCTGGTGGTGGCGGTGCTGCTGCTGGTGCTGGTGGTGGCTGCTGGTGTAGTGGCGAAGCATGGTCCGCAGCGAGGCCACAGTGCTGGGTTTTAAAGCGAGGCGGCGGCGCAGAGGAAGAGGAGGAGGTCTGGAACTGGACTTGGCTTGGACACTGGGATACTGGGACGGGTGGGGGACGGCAGTGGTGCTAGTGCAGGAGCTCACAGCTAGGCGAGCCAGCACCAGGCAGGGCTAGCTAGGATTTATAGGATCAGATTCGCTGTGCAGAGGTCGATCTGCTCGGCTGCTCGCCTCGTTGATGCTGCCAATGCCATCGCTGGGAAACACAGAAATTGTTTAGTTCCATCCCAACTTTCAAAAAGTTGCTACAGTATTTATCACATCGAATGTTTATGGCCCATGCATGAAGTATTAAATGTAGATGAAAAGAAAAACTAATTACACGGTTTGGTGGGAAATTGCGAGACGAACGTTTTGAGCCTAATTAGTCCATGTTTGAATACTATTTGCCAAATAAAAACGAAGATGCTATAGTAGCCCCAAAATCCAAATTTCACGAACTAAACAAGGGCAAAGCAAAATTAAGGTGGTGTTTAAATCCATAAAGGCCTTGTTTATATTGCAAATTTTTGTAACATGGATACTGTAGTACGTTTCATTTGTATTTGACAAACTTTGTCCGATCATGGACTAACTAGGCTCAAAAGATCCATCTCGTGATTTTACAACCAAAATATGTAATTAGTTATTTTTTTTACTTACATTTAATGCTCCATGCATGCGTCCAAAAATTAATGTGATGGAGAGAGAGTGAATAAACTTAGAATTTGGAGGTGATCTAAACAAGGCCAAAGTTTCAGAAATGCGAAACAGTGCCCGGTTATTTTGTTGTTGATGAGTAACCGTTTTTTTGGCCGTTCGATATGTGATGTTTTTTTTTCTGCAGCGTCCGATCTCTTTGTCACGTGCTGATGGGTTTGTTTCTCAGACATGTGGGGCCCAACTAAGTGCGTTACTGTTTTGATTTTTCGGGAGTCGTGCCCGAAGTTTTGGCTTCCGTTTCCCCTTTCCCCATTTCATTTCGCTTCGTCTTCTTTGAGACGAGTCGGGGCCAACCCGGCCCCGGCGACTCGGCGGCCCCCGGTCGTGGTCGACTCATTCTCCAACGGCGTGGCGACTTGCAGCTCCGCGTCTTTGTCGAGCTAAGTTATCTCATTTGCGCGCCCTTTTTCTATGTTATTCATTGTGTTCCGGCGATGTGTGGAATCTGTGTTTGCTTAGATCGGGCGTTCAACACCCCGTCGATGTTGTTTTTTCTACGCAGATTTGGGGGTGGAGTTTAGTTTACTCATGTTCAGGTTCCAGGCTGTATGTGTGTTTCTGTGCAATGCGTTTAGGCGACAGCTATCGCAGATCTGGTGTGTATTTGTGTTACTCTTGTTCAGATTGTAGTGTCAATGGCAGTTGTCTTTCATTTTCGTCGTCTAGGGTTTCTCTCATAGTGGTTGTTGCGGGGGATTCAGTTTAGTTCAATGTTGGATCTGAGAATCCCATTCTGTGTTGAGTTTTAGGAGTTCTTGGTATTCTCCTTGTGTTTTTGGGTGTTCGTTCACCATCAACTTTGCGCATTGTCGTGATCGTATCGTGACACCATGTTCATCTTGTTTGATTTTGATGTGCATGTTCATCTTGTTTGATTTTGATGTGCAGTATTTTTGTGAGTACTAGCTAGTATTTGATCTATGATCCATCCATCGTTTTTGCCTTACTTGCCTCGGTTGGTAGGAGTAAGGACCTAGCCAGATTTGCTTGCTTGCTGCTAGTATTTCGCCCACCTGCTCTGCTCTGCTAGTCTGTTTTACTGTCATTTGGTTATGGTTGGTGACGAATGCAACGAAACAATTCAATTCGTCTCAGCATGCACCCCCACCACTAACACAAAGGCAAGACTCTGTTGTCATTCCATTTTTAGTTTTCAGTTTCATTTTCAGCGTTTTTGATACTTTCAAATGCTCCCTAATGCCTGAAATTGTATGGGTTAGTTTATTGGTATGTCTTTGATTTAGTTTAATTGCAGTTACCTGAACACCAGTTACCTGTTTGCTTGATTTTGCAGTTTTTATTTATGTATGCTAATTCGTTTTTTTTTTGTTTTATTTCCATTAGATGATCTGCAGTTTCTTTTCATTTTTAGTGTTTTATATGTAGGTTAAATGTTCATAATTAGTTTCAGTTTGTATTGGAGAGGGAAGAAGAGCCTGATTAAGTGTTTGAGCTTTTCAGATTGTATAAAGTATATGATTTTTTTGTGGTGTTTTGGTATGTTTTTTTTATCTAATTAGGGTAATCCCATATATGTGTTTTTTCAATTCAGGATTTGTGTTTTTTGGTAAAAAATGGACTTCATTGTTAGGCACCTATTTTTTCATCAGTGCAGATTTTTCCAATCTTTTTTTTTTGAAGTGGCCAGCATTTCAATTAGTCCTTTGACTCGGCAGGTTAATTTTTTTTGTTCTAATTTTTTCAGGTATCGATGGCTGATAGGAGCAATTATTTCCGTGTAGTTGAGGAAAGTACTCTAGCAGCGCAAGGTCACAAAGGTTTTGAACCTGTAAGTGTGTGCTGTACTAGTTGTACGAGTGATAAATATTTTGTGCTTATTTTTTTGTTTTGTTTTTAGTCATTCATTTCTACTGCAAATATCAATTTGTTGGAGGAATTTCTTGTTTTTTGCAAATCCAAGGTATTTTTTTCTGCACCCCCCTGTTTTTCTGTTTTCCATTTTTTGGCTCGTGCATCCGTTTGTTTTTTCTACATTCTTTTAGAAAATGAATGAGGCAAATGGAGTCCCCCGAGAAGTTAATGGAGTTTGTAATGATCAAGATAAGGTTTCTTTTTTGAGTTAGTTTTTTTAATCTCTCTTGTTTAATGTTTTTTGGCATAATATAGGCTAATGATGAATCAATGGGATTCAGGGAGAAGCTTACTATGTATTTTGGTGATTTTTTGCCTGAAAATGTAATTTATTTTGTCTGTATGCTTTTTCTTTTTATGTTGCTTGTTTATTTTCACTTCATTTTCATTGTTTTTCTTTTTTCCTTTAGGTGGTTGATGAGTTATGCAAGCTTGTTTAGGAGAATTCATATGGGAAGTGCAATTTCTGTTTGTTGCCCACTGAGAGTCTAATTCTCAGCGTTCTTCAGATTCTCTTAGATGCTGCACAGAACACCAATGAGGTGAAAGAGAAAAACGTTGTCCCCCTAGCTTTCCTCAAAACAGCAGAGTCAATGATATTAATAAGTCTGTTCCATCAATTGTGAGAGGTATTCATTTTCTTTTTTGGTTTGAATCTTTTGCTGATCACATTACTTTTTGTAGTTTTGTATGATATTTTAGAGTCTGCTTTTAACAACGCAGATAATCGGCACAGTTCAGATATCAATGAGCAGTCCAATAGACGCATTGTTGAAGAAAATTTCAAAGCCAGCAAGCCTATAGGAAACAAACAGAATGTGGATTCCACTGTTCCATATAATATGAATCCTCGCTTGCAGTTTTTTTTGTTCAAATGTTTTGTTGAGTTAATTTTTCTTTTTATTTTTTTTTGCTGAACCTTTTTTCTTGTAGAATGCAAGTGAATCCAAAGAAGCAATTAAATCTGGTGATGGCAATTCAATGAAGAATCCCATTTTGGTCCTGGATACTCCTTTAGCGATGGCTCATAGCAATTCTCAATCTAGTGAGTTTCCTATCTGTGTCTTTTTTTTGTATTGATTTTTTTTCTTTTTTCATCTTTTTTTGCAGGGAATGTTCCTATTATGAACAAGAAAGCTAAACTTGAATCTCGTGCCAATCAGTTGTTAAATGCTCCTAAGGTAATTTTTTCATGTTTTTTATTTTTTAATCCATAATATACAAATCAGATATGTTTTCTTAAAATTTTTTGTTTTCTATGATTGCATTTGTTGTTTTGTTAGTAAAGAGTAGTACTGCTTAGAGATAGTTCTCGCCCTTTTTATTTTTTTGTTGGTGTCCGATATGTCTGTGTTTTAATTCCAGTTACAGATGGATGAATGTCACATGCGAGATGCCACTTCTTTGAACATTGAGCTTGTGTGTTGGTGATATTTTTTTTTTGTTATGTGAATGTTGGAAACACGTGGCGTTCGCTTGTTTGGTGACATAGGAGTCTAATTTTTGTCAATCTAGCCCCATGTAAGTTGGTTTTTGCTTGATTATGAAATTGGTGAAAGTCTTCAATTGGTCTTTTTTCCCTTTTGATTCTCAACTTTTGCAATTGTGATGAGTAGGCTGAGCAAATTATCTGATTTTTTGGCAGGAATTCGACAGTTAGTCTAGTTTATTTTGTTTGGTCACACTTAAATTTGCATGAGTGAAATTAGATAGTTTGTGCCTTTCTTTTTTCGCCCAGAAGCCTTGCATATGTATATGTGTTTTTTTGGAGCATCTGATGTCCACAGAAAATGAACCAATCCTTCTATATATTTGGTGGTTAATTTGTTTGTTGAGCCCAATCATCCAATAGCTGTAGAACCTGGAATTGTCTGCCTAATTGACTATTATTTTACTCTGTGTGTCTCTGAAATTAGCAGTTTGTTGTCTGTCTACTTCTCATGACAAGTTAAAGGATCTATGCTATCATCTGTTTTGATGTATAGTTTAATCATTATTTAAGTATGCTATATGCACTGTTTTGTAATATAATACAAATAATGTAGATGAGATGATTTTTATTGTTTTTTGTTTGTTTTCAAGGCATGTCCTGATGTTGAAGTTTTGGGTGCCCCAAGTGTCAGAGACCGTTGCATGCAATTAGGAAAGTTAACTGATGGTCTATATAATAGAAGAACTTTCGGTGCTATGCGAGCCCCCCCAACAATTGACGAAGAAAAGTTAACAGGGGTTAGCCCAGAAGTCAGTGTTGCTGTTAGTAGGCCTCAAGATCATATTACAGGTGGACATCGTTTTTCTATAACTGACGAAGAAAAGTGTTTCTGTAATATTATTTACAGACTAGCTCACAGCCAATGGAGCTGGTATGTCCTTTTTTTACTATTTTTGGTATATTCTTTTTTTAAGTTCTTTTGTTTTGTGAACTTTTAGTCATTATGAATTTTGGTTTTTATTTTGTGTTTTCCCTTTTTTGTAGTATGAAGGCAGTTGAATTTGCCAAGACCAAGACCAGTGTTACGTGTTGTTCTTCAGGTCAATCTGTGCAACCTATGGATAAAGTCGACAATTTTTTCGTTGATGTTATGTGTCGTAAATTTTTTGAGGATCAGCACCCAAGGCAGTCCAAGAAACATTTCTTCTATCCAAAAGTTGGGGTAAGTTCTTTATTTTTTTTCTTTTTTTTTTGCTAGCTGCAGCCTCGCGTGCATTTGAATTTGTTTTTTATCTGTGCCCCAACAATGCTTGTCTATATCCGGCGGTGGGGTGTCATGTGATTCTGCTATGGGTCTGTCTTTTTTGTATGTTGCCTTTTGTCATGTTTATTTTTTTTTCATTTGTAGGGTTGTCTTTACACCTACAATTGCGACTATGACATTGACACAGTGAAGAATTGTTTTCTTGGAGCCAACTCTGCTTACAAGCTGCATTTGTGAGACAAGGTTTTTTCTTTTTTAAGATTTTGTTTTTTTAATTTTTTTCTATGTATTAATTATTTTTTTATGATGCAACTGTGCTTTCCAGTTATCATACACAAGCATTGGTCTGCATTCATTGTTGACTTGAAGAACAAACTGTTTGTGTTTTTGGATTATTATTTTCATGGTGGTGATCACTTTCAAATCCAATGCAAGGACCAAGCTTGTAAGTTCATATTTTTTTATTGTTCACTTTTTGAAATTAAATCAATCTCCCTTTTTGTTTAGTTCTAAATTTTCCCTTCACTTTTTTTTAAGATAAATGCATTCAGGGAATGTTGGTACCAACACGCAGAGGGTTATGTAGATGTTGATGCATTCTCTGTGCTATATCCTGCAGTTCCAAAACAAAGTAATGTGTAAGTTTTTTTTGTCAATGTAATGTATTAAGTTTGTTTTCAGTTCATGTATATGTGTATCCATTTGTGATGGTACTTAGGACTTCATCAGTCACCTTTGGTTTGTCAAAATAGCTGGGGTTTGATGTGTTGGGTGTTCTATGCAACTGATTTTTTTGTGGCACCTGTTTTAGAATGGGATTTTGATAAGTAGATAGGCTTTTTTTGCCGTCTGGTGTGCATTTGTGTGTGTGTGTGTGTGTAGATTTTAGTTGCCGGACTTAAATGCACCCATGCAAGATGAGGTTGTTGGCATGGTGATCTGTATGATTTTTTAAATTCGTGCAGCTTTTGTTTAAAATGGATTTAGGATAATTCAAATGAATGAGCATATTGTACCAGTATTCAAGTATATGTTAGTTTTGTGTCAGTTTTTGTGATCTGTGTTGTATCTCGATAGTATATGTTTACATGTTTTTGAGGAACATTTTTACTTCTTTTTGAAAAGCAAAACTTTTTTGTCCAAATCCAGGTACACCAGGTATACCCCCGAATATCAGTAGTGTTTACAACTTTTGATTACCTGAATGCAATATTTTTGGGAGTTCTGGGATTACCTGAGTTCATCATGTGCTAAGAAATGGACACCCTTAGCCTTTAGCCTTTTTTGTATAGTACTTTTTTTGTGTGTTTTTCAGTGTTGATTGTGGTATATATGCTTTGAAGTTCATGGAGTTATGGGACAGAAACATCGATCTCACGCGCATGATTGACCAATCTGATATCCCCAACATACGGGTGAAGCTTGCAGTTGATTTGTTCTTTAGCAAAGCAAACTGCATTGATAAATCACTTGTACTAAACTTATATGAGCAGGTATTTTTCTTTTTTTTCATTTTTTTATATTACCTAGTGGTTCTGTTAGTAATTGTTTGATTTTCATTTTTATTTTTTTCCTGCTCTTTTTTTGTAGGGTGTTGATCCTCGTGTCTGTACTTAGTTTCTGAGTTCTTTCTTGATCCTAGATAATCAATGTAATTAGTTTTAGGTTCATGGCTGCAAATTTAGTGTTGTTGAGCTTTTGCAACTGCTTAAAAAAGAAAGTAGCGCATGTAGTGGATGTCGCCTTACATATCACAGGACAAAATCATGTATTACAGTTTATAATACTACTATAGAATTTTTACATATATCTCATAATCTCATAATGTTGCTGAGTTCGTTCTTTCTTCTTTTTTGTGATCTCCTACGCCACGCCTGATCCCCCCTGAGTTGCTTGGCTGTGTATCATTGTTTTTTGATGTTGTTTTCTTGACCCTCTTGGACTTTGGCTTGATTGGTGAGACTACGGAGGGAAAGGAAAAGTTATCCTTGCTATAGTTACCCATTTTAAATTGATGGTTGTTTTTTTACCTGAATTCATGGTCGATGTTGCTTTCTTCTTCTTCTTGCTCTCTTGCTGTATCATTTTCTCCCTAACCTGTTCTATTTGAGTCTTCATTCTTTTTGTCAGTGTTGGTCTACCCCTCTTTGTTTTTGTATGTGGATCTTCAATGACAGTCTCAGAACTATTTAGTTCTCTATTTGCAGTCCCATTTGTTTGTATCTATTCATGTGATGTTTGTTCATTGTGACCTTTACGACTTGTTGGAGGTGCTAGCATCTTGTTCAGGTGCTCTTCAATTCTACACATTTCTCCCAAAAGGTTCTCTGTTTCTTGTTGCTTAGCTGCTTTTTAATTTAGTTCTGTAGATTTTCTTGATAGTACATTGAATCTGAGTAGCAAACTCATGGTAGAACCGCCTAATCTAATGTCTTCCAGGAGTACTTGCCTTCCATTAGACACTAAGTACTCGAGGAAGGACACTAAATTACGCAGTTCCGTCGAGCACACCCCAAGGGAGAACCTGAAAATCCACATTTTTCCATCAGGATCACAAATGAGAGAATATAGCTTACAATATTTTATCCATTTCTTACATCACTTTTCATGCAACATCAGAGTATAATATTTATTGATTATAACACCGGAATATACCCATGTTATCAGAGTTATGAACAATTTAATCTAACAGCGGAATATAAACATACGATCAGAGTTACAACGAAAATAAATATCTATTCATGACACAATGAAGCATTGATATATAAACTATGACAATAGATTATAAAACCTCTATTTATAAAAATATTTAGCGAGAGTTATAAATAAAAACTATGATCGCAGAGTAAAACAATCCTCTCTGAGCCCACCAGGAGGGATCCACACACAAGAGTCAGCTCTAGCATCCGCCAGTCACCTGCAACAGGGGGAAATAAAACCCTAAGTACTCAGTTGTACTTAGCAAGACTTTCCCACCAGGAGGAAATAAAAGACTCCAAGGATATGCAAGGCTATCTGGTTTGTGAATTTATTACATCTACTGGAGCATTACTAAACATGTGTCCTTATATTTAATTTTTTTAGTGGTCAGTATTAGTTCATTAACTAACCATTCTATGTAAGCACCTATGCTACTTTCAAGAAGGTGGTAAGCAATCAGAATCATTTTACCATATTTCATCTTTCAGTTCTTACTACGGTGCTAGACTGATACAAAGTCGTACCGGATCACCTGACGATTCGCGAACCAATGTATCCCAGCTAGGTATCCTGAAACACACGCCCTGCTTGTACCCTAGGCACAAGCAAGACCAACCCACTACCCTCCTATCACGGGGTCTAGGTCCTCGTCCAAACTTGGACTCTAAGCCCCCGCTCCTGAGTCCCGAACTCAGTGCGGTGCTTAGACCTCCACCATCCCTGCCTCCAATCAGTCGGTTCGGAAAGAGCCGGAACCCAGGACAAGAGAGCAATGAACCTTCCCGCGCCCATATATAAGTATGTGTTCAGGATAATAAGTCTGTGACTTGACTACCATCCATTGCAATGGCAGGTTCTTAACCGACACAGGCGGAACAAGTGCAACCCAAGCCTCGCTCGAATGCGAAACCAAGTCCAGATCCAAAGTACGATTGCGCTCGGTCTCCAATTATCATTCATATATATTCCATGTAATAGTAATATAATAACAACAATAATATCTTTCCTATCTCTCGCAAGTGACAGGCAATCACTCGACTTAAAACTTATATATATATATATATATATGCAAGGTGGGTTTCATTCAACTCCTTAAAACTTAATGCACAAACATAATATAAAGTGCAGAAAAGTATGTGTTATGCACCGGGGCTTACCTAGGTAAGATATAACCGAAAGTTAGCATTCCATCTTCGTGACATGAGCCATAGGACCATCTTTCTAGCTACCCAGTTGGTCCCACGACCCATCATCGTTCCTATTATGATATGTAAAGATGCAATGCATGCTTCGGTCAAACAAGCATACACACAGGCATTTACAACTGCTAAAAGACAAGCATCACGTCGTCGAGTAAGATTTGTTCCCCGAAAATATTTTTATTCTACAAACCCCGATTATTATTTTTTGACATTTGATTGATTAAATATATATTTTCGTACTAGGGCTCATTTAGTTACCTTAACAAACTAATTCCTATAGAGCTACAAAAATTACAGATAACACCTAATATTGTTAGGAATCTACTATAAAAATTTCACAGCCAACACTATCAACAATTTACCACAACAATTCCTACAAGTTTATACTTTGACAATATTAAGTATCTCAAATTAATTATATAGCTTCTAAGAATATTATAAAACTATGTGAACAAAATATAATAGCAGATAGATCATGATTTTAGGCGTCTAACAAAATTAGTTTCACTATTTTTTGGATATCTATGCAATTTTATAATATTTACCAAAGATCCGCTCAGAAATAAAATTAACAATCTATTTCTAATTCCTCCTAAAAAGGAAAAACCAAAACTGGCCCAGCGCGGCCCAACCTGGGCGCGGCCCATGCGCGCGGCGCGCGGACGTGGCCCACGTGACACGACCCACGACAGAACCCGAGCATGCCCCGGGCGTTTAAGCAAAAACGTCGCCGGTCTTTTCCCGACCTACACCGCGACCCAAACCCTATTACTCCCTCTCTCACCCCTCTTCACTTAATCCCCTGACATTTCCCAAATTTATGCGCACACCTCCCTGAGTCAGGGCGCACGGCGGCGCGACGACAGTGGCACTGGGCGGCTATGCCGATGAGCAGGGCTCGTGCTGGCCCCATCTAATCGGCCGACGACCATCACTAACCAAAACTCAGGTGCTACACGATGATGGGGGACAGCAGGGCTCGCGGGCGAGTACGGCCACGGCGCGTGGCCGCCTGTGGCGGTGACGCAGTCGCTCCAGTTAGCTAGCGCCTCAAAAGGACCAACCGGCTGGCGCCAGAGCACCACGAACTTACCACAACACTAGCTGAGGCGATGGTTGACGCGTAGGAAGGCCGGGGTGGGCTGGCCACATGCGTGCAGCGAGGTCAGCGGCGCTCCAGGCGTGGCACCGTCGTGTCACCACACCATTGGTCAGCACCCTAGGCCAAACGACGTGAGCATCAGCTGTAGGGAGTCGAGATGAGCTCAAAGCCATGAGCAATTCAACTATTACCGCTGCAATCCTACCTTTCTTCCCCGTTCCCTATCATGGCAGCGACATGACCCACGGCGAGCAAAACCTCAATTTTATGCGATGGAGGGCATCTAGAGTAACTGGCACGGTCGGAACGGCCAGCTGGTTATGAGTCCTTGCTACAATGGCACTGGATTGAGCTGGGATGTCACGGTCCACACATTAATTCGGGAAGCGGCGCCGCTGCCAGTGCCCGGACAGAGCCATTAAGGCATGCCCGCGTGCGGCCACGCGCACACAGTAGCGCGACATCGTGATGTAGTAGGCTACGCGATGGCATCGAGCTTGGCTTGGTAGGTGGTTTGAGCGATGAGACGGGCACCACGTCGGTCCAATGGCTGAGCGGCCACAACTTGGCCCGTGCGCGGCTTGGCCAGCAGCGAGCACGCGACGACCACGCCACGGCAGCCTGGCAACGCAGTTGGCCCACGGTGGTGGCCAAGGCCACCCCATCCTGACACGCGCCCGACAACCCACAAGGCCAACCACGGCATGACCATGGCCAAAAAAGGGCTAGAACGGTAGTGGGCGCGGTGACCGTGGACACGGGCTGCGCCACAACGAGCGGTGATGTGCTCGTTTTTTAAAGCGATTCAAAAGCTGCTGATCAACTCAACCCGGGTTCAACCGGTTCCACTAACCTAAACTCGGTACTAACACCTAGCTGGCGAAACAAACCTCACGTCTAGAGAGCGACTAGATAGTGAGATAGGGAGGTGCCAACACGAGTCTGTCACATAGGACGGCGGTTCGTGAACCGGGCACCGAATCATAGTTCGCAGCGTGTTCCAACGTAGTTCGAAGAATTTTTGCGCGAGCAACGCACCACCCAACACCACAACTACTTATACCAAGCCTGTACACTCACCTTGGTGCGACCAACGATGTCAAAATATGAAGCCATCACTTAAGCATTTTTATTAAAATTTAAATGACAACATCATCCATTATCATTTCGGACTTAACGAATTCGATGCTCGATTAGAACTAACCTTCCCCCAACACTTTTGGTTGAATTTTTAAATGGTCTACGCCTCATCAATTTCAACTTGACAACATGTCATGACGTAGCTCATACTTCATGCTAACTCGTAGAAACAAAACATCTAAGAATTATTTAACCCGTTTGTTCAATATAATTCCCCAAAGAATGATACTTTTAACATAAACTCAAGTAATAGTTAACAACGAAAATGACCCTGCTTAATTCCAAGTTTGATTTCTGAACTCCCAAAATACTAACTAATAGTATTTATTCTCCCAAAATGAATGTTACATTTCCACCTACTTCACTTGCACTCTAAACTTTATTTAAGCGCTACATACAAGTGATATTCTATTTTTGTTTATAAAAATAGTTTTTCATGCCCAACAATTAAAGCTACGTATCATATTTTTCTT